AGCCCACCAGTTCAACTTCTTGGTCCCTCTGGGTAGCTGGCTGTGACCAAGAAGTGACTACAACCTTGTCCCTTGTCAGCTCTACTATACACCTGGGAATTCTTACAGATCATACAAATACACTTGTAGGACCATTGTCTTCCAACCCTGTACATGGTCTTGGGTACACTCTCCGCTTCATAGACATACCTAATAGTTCAGCCTGTCCACCCATCTATCTACCTGCATGCCCATGTTTGCCTTCACTGACAGCACAGTACTGTATGTGCAAAAGGGTTCATCTCTGTTGTCTGTACCTCCCATGTCTTCCTCTTCCTCAGTGCCACCACCAGCATCACAAGTGCTTATAAATACCTATTCCTTTATTTCTTTGTGGAGCAGAGTTCCCTTTGTCCTAATAAAGGTGAATACTCTGAGGATGTCGTCTGTATGGTCCCCCATGTGCGGCACCCCCTCCCCTTACCAGGATCCTTTGCTTCCCAAATGGCAGTGGCTTTGTGATGCTTGACATTGACAGGTGGTTAGGGTTAGGGTTAGGCAGAAGACAAGCCAGAGCTGGAGGTGGAATGGACCAGACGGACCAGAGAGCAAGGCTCTTAGGGAATAATTGTGTGCGCAGCTGACACAGCATCATGTGCTGATTAGCATGTTAGAGGGGTGATCACAGCATCCAGGGGACATGGGAGAAGTCAACTCTCAGACCAACGAGGCAGGATTAGAGTGTCCTTCATTACACGAAACAATTATTTTCCTAATTTAAAAATGTATGACTCTTTGTTTTTTCTAAGCAGGAAGCTAAAGCCTCAGGTTTTCTTTATCTAGCCCACTCAGCCCTGGGGTACCACCCAGTTCTGTCATTTTATCATGTGGTATAGAAGTCACCTCTCCAACTCAGTAGTGAACCATGGAGCCCATCTCTCCAAGTCTCCCACTGTGACCAGGAGTAGTTGAAATCTACCCTTATAGTGCTGTTGGGAAGATTCTTCAGAGTCCCCCTTATGTGACTGTCACCTTGTTGCCAATAGGAGAAGTGCCACCCGGAAGGGAGTGTTTTGTGCCCTCCCCCCATCAAAGTCTCCCCAGGTCATGCAAAATCATGTAGTTTGTTTCCTGTGGATCAGTTGTATGAGTCAAAATTCAGGCACAGCATTAGTTGAATTTGGCTGAGAAAGTTCATCTACCTTGAGGGAGACAGGCCTCTATGTTTTTTAAGGCCCTCACAGCAAATCTAACTCCAAGTGTCCCCTGAGAGAACAGTGAAGAAAGGTGTGCAGAGGATGCAAAGCCCATATTTGATTTCTGACTTTTATTTCAGAGACACAAGGAAGCCTACAGTTGCACTGTCTGCTGTAGGTGAGTATGCCCTGCCCTAGCTTGACTTTGGTCCATTTCTTTTCCCGCTCTGACCAGCCCACTTCCCAATGCTCTGCCCTGGCTGGGTCAAATGATAAGTTGTATGTTGCAAAGGGCTGGCTTCAGGCTGCTCTCAGAGGCTAGAGTCAGGGCTGTTGAGTGTAGGGCAAGAACTTATTTCAGATTTCAAGGAGAGGAATCTGGTTGGTTTGTATATAAACTTTTTGTTGTGGAAAATTTCAAGCGCATATGCAAATAGAAGAAAATGAACTGCAGTAATCATCATCTAGCTTCAATAGGTGTCAGCATCCAGCCAGTCTTAGTTCATCTGTACTTCCACCCATTTGACCCTGGTGTCACTGATCCTAGTAAAGCACTATTACATTACAAGGTTCCCAGAATCCTTTGGGAGCCTTCATGTTTCTTATGGAACACTGAAAAAATTATATTCTTTGGACATCTTCAAGTAACTCTCTCAAGAGTGTAAGTAAGGTCTTTTTACTTTCTCCTCTAGCTGATGCTCTGTTTTGCAAAGAACGGAGCCTCCTAAGTAATACGCTAAGTTGCTTCAGCTACGGTGGTCCCTGGCACTCATTCTTGGGTAGCTTGAAATGTGCTATGTTTCAAGGAAAAACAAAACAAAGCAAACACGGGAAAGATGCCCTCTCCAAAACCACTACAGCACATCCTTAGTCAAGTACAAGTTCTAGGCCTTAACTCTGTTTCCAGTTAGTTTATAAGTCCTTGAACTATCACATTCTCTGGGCTTCTTCAATTGGGTTACTCTGTGAAGTAGCTACTATATTTTTCCTGTACAATGAGCATCAAAAGGGAGAAGTAACAAAGAAGTAATATATGTGTATGATAAGGATAGGATGAGAAAGGAAGGTGGACCAACCTTTTGGTTCTGGTTTGACTTAGTTAACTTGATTTTTTAAACTAGAAGAACCATTATGTCCTGGGTTTCTACACGTCTCAGCCCTTCTGGCATATTTCATCATGCCCCCTCTCTGAAACAGCTCTTTCATAATTACTGGTACCTCCTTGTACTGGCAGAGTGAGAAAAGGCCTACGTTCACCTAGGGCCCAGGGTGTCCCCTTTTTCTGAGTAAACACAGTGTCATTGGCCGTGTCTAACTCTGCCGATGGGAGACAAGAATTTAGGGAGGGGTGTAGATAACCTTCTGAGGGCAGATTTGGTTAACACTGGGGCTTATTCAGCTACGCTTCATCTTGAGCTTGTGTTTTTCTAAGACTGTCCCTCTTGAAAAAAAAAAAAAGAGGAGAAGGCAGGTATTAGAGCTGTGTCTCTTCCGATTCGGAGAAGGTTGATGTCGGTGGAGATGATGAAGGGCCTGGTTGTGTGATGAGTAAATTACCACAAGCAGTGCCTCGATGAGCCACATGTCACATGTCCCTGCTGATTCTGCTGGAATGTAACCTGTGGATTTTTGCTCTAAGTTAGATTATCTCCTCAATTAGGATGTGTTAATTCATTTATTTTTTTGGCTTCGTTTTGCCTTTAATGGTAGAGTTGGTTCAGTCATAGAAGTGGGAAAGATCCTGCGCTTGTTCAGCCAGAACTCATTATCACTACTCCTGTATGTGTTCTCTCTGCCTCCAAAGGCTTTGAAGGCACAGTTTGCTCCCCTCGGGTTTCTCTTTGCAGCGGGTGCCTCGCAGGTCAAATGGAATAAAAAAAATGCTAACTGTCTTGCTACCAGTCATGATGGTGATGTTCGGATATGGGACAAGCGGGTGAGTAATCTACCCACCCCCCAGTTGGTCTTTGGCCCCTGTCTGAGAGCATGAAAAAGATGTTGTGAGTATCAGGACTGAGGACCCTGTACAGCACGATCAGCTCATAGTACCAGATGGTATCTCCTCCTTAGTCAGTTTATTGTTGAACAAAAGTAGGGGAGTGAGGCAGTATGATCAGTGGTTAAGAAAATGAACTTGGCCTAATCTAAGGGTCTTAGCTTCCTAATTGTGACATCAGGTAAGCCACTATAACCTCTCTCAGCCTCAGTTTCTTCATCTTCAAAATAAAGATAATAATCGCAAGTGTGTCATTGAGATCAAGCCTTGGGGACCACATACTGTTCTAGAATGGTCAGCAGGCTTCTGATCTCTGTCCAGGTTGCACAATGAAACTAGTTCTAGAGCATATACCATCTTCAGTGCTTCTGATATAAATCAATGAGGTAGGGTACTCTTTATGCCCAAATCCTCCATTAGGTATGGACGTCCCATCAGCCTCAGACCCTGAAGATCGTATGTATTCTCTGCATCTGCCCATGTCACTGAGAGACATGAAAGAGGTGCAGAGGTCCAGGCAGCTGCTGCAGTGGAAAGCCTATTGGGAGTTGAGTATGCTGCCATTGTGAGAGTAAGGATGCAGGGATAGGGCCTCCCCAACATCCTAATGCTGACGATTGGGTAGTAATGCACAGACCAGTCAACTTCTCTCAGATCTGAGGTGTAATGCTGCTTCCTGCTTTGAAACCTGAGGCTAGAGCACCTCAGCCTTTTCCTGAAACTTGTTCCGGAGATGCCCCGACTTGAGTGCTGACCATGAAGTTGCAGCGTAGCTCCCTTCCCCGCTCAGCAGGCAGTATTGTCCAGCATTTGCAGAGGGGAGGGGGACGCAAAGCAGGGATTGGGCGAGGCAGATCCTCATCCTGAGGATGGGACATCAAGACCTCCTAGGGAGCTGGGTGCTGGCTGAAACCCTGTGCCAAAGGTAGCTGTTTGGTAAGATGACGATTTCATAAGTATATATACTCTCTTGTATGTTAATTTTTGTCTTACATCTCTTTTAGTTATAGTTCTTCTTTCCCCTTTTATTTAAGTTGTCACCAGCATAACAATTAATATAATACTGATTTAAATAAAATGGTTAATTTGTAGTGCTTATATATTGCACCCAAGTTGCGTACAAGGTTATATCTATCGATCTATCTGTCTGTCTGTCTATCTATCTATCTATCTATCTATCACTGTAGCAGATAATGTTTTTCCCATTTAGGTTGTTTTCTGGTTTTCTAATGTTCCACATAACACCAAGGTGAACATCTTTCCTGTTTCAAGCTTTTTGTAAACTTGTATTATTCTTTTAAGGACAGAAAATCTTAGTCTGGATAAATATTACCAAATTTCTAGCCAAAAGGGTTTTATATGTACTATTTTATATGTACTGTTTTATATGTATGCTGGCAGTGACTATTGAAGCCTCACCAATATTGAATATTAATTTATAAATATCTTCTAATCTGATAAATTCAAAAATTTTCTGTTTTAATATGTATCTGAGGTTTCCCTTTGGTTTTGTTCATTTTATATATACTCATTAATCATTTATATTGTTTTCTTTGTGATCTGTGTGCTCTTTCCCTTTTAGAATCTTAGTGTTCAATTGCTTTAAGATTGGTAGTTTTGGCCTCAGGATAGAGGTTTGCTTATATGCCCCTCTTCTGGGGTGGTTGTGAGGAAGGGGAGCAGAAATTGCACACTGCACTACCCAAAGGTGAAGAACACTCACTACCTAAAATCCTTCACTAAAGCTATGAAATGGGACTGGTCAGGGAGATAGTTAGACATCTGGGCTGATTACAGAGCATGTGTGAAGCAGAGCTGAATCAGCCTTTTGTTGTTGTTTTGTTTTAAACAAAACCAAATGGAGTGCCCTCTCCCTTTCACTGCCATGGTGATGATGTGGCCCCCTCATTCAGAGTCAAGAGATTCCTGTCCAAGAAACAAAAGCAGAATCACCTCACTCCCCAGTAATTCGAATAAAAACTGGTAATAAAATTAGGTGCAACTCCAAGAGGAGACATTGGAGAAGAAATAAACTGGGTCTGTAAGGGGCTGTATGTAGAATGGCAAGAGCTCTGGTGGCGTAGTGCCTAAGGCACCCTACTGCTAATCAGAAGGCTGGCGATTCAAACCCACCAGCCATTCCTCGGAAGGAAGGTTTGGCAATCTACTTCCATAGAGATACTAACTCGGAAACCCAAGGAGGGGTTGCTATGAGTCGGGTCAGGATTGATGGCACATAACAACAACAATAATGTGTAATGGCACACAGAATGCCGAGGCTCACTAACCTCCTACAGTGTCAAATTCACTAGAGTTCTACCTTATCAACTCTGAAGTTTCACCACCATCTGATCAGCTGAACATGTGTGGGGAAACTTCTGGTTTCTTCCTAAGTCATAGATATGTGAGACCTTTGGCTTGAAAATAAAATGAGTTTCTGAAGTGTAGAGATCTTATGTGGTAATGTTTCTGTGTCCTCACGCAGCCCCCAGTGGACTGTTACATGGTAGAGACTCAGTGAGTTCTTTGTGAATGACGATGCTCAGTGCTGATGTATTGCAGAAACCTAGTACAGCAGTGGAGTATCTCGCAGCCCACCTCTCCAAAATCCACGGCTTGGACTGGCACCCGGACAGCGAGCACATTCTTGCTACCTCCAGCCAGGACAACTCGGTCAAGGTGAGCCGCACCCACTGGGGCAGTGAGTTGGGCTGTGTTTGGAAGCAGCAGCAATATGTGATAACACCTCCTTTAGAAGGAAAGTGACAGTATGTTAGCCCAGTATGTATATTTCAGGGGTACATGTACTTCTTGGGAAGCTGGGCAAGTCAATCTGCTGTGTGGACCAGCAGGAGTGACATAGTAGCACGTATATGACCTGGCTGCTAGAATTTGTTGAGGTTTTCTTCTTTCCTTTTGGCAAAGAAAGTGAGAGACAAAAGCATTTAAAATGGAAAAGTTTACTTGCAAAGAAGTTGCAAGGAAGGTCAGATTTCAGAATGGCTTATCATATTAAAAGCACAACAGATATTCAAAGAAGAAAGCTCATTTAACACTGAGTTGTTAAGTTGCCAATTGTATGATTAGTCTGTGTGGTGGAGAAACAGCAGTTTTATCACATAATTATCATATCTGCGGAAGCTATGACGTGTCTTCAGACCACAATCATTGCAAAGGTCAGGTATCGAGTTGTTTGCGGAGGGCTGCTCTAACTTACAGAAATGCTCAAGGCTTTATGTGTTTTGGCAGCCCTGCTGTTTTTGGTTTATCTCAAAGTGCATTGTGTCTTTTTGCCTGTTTTCCTTCTGACTGCGGATGTGATGTGCACCCTTGTCACGCTTATAGAGCACAGGCTCAGTGTCACTTCCATGGGTTCTCCATAACGGTCAGTGCTCTGGTCCTGAGGACAAGGATTTGACCACTGAAGTTAGCTTGGTAATTTTGTGATGCAGCATCATTAATTTAATGTTTTGTTTCATTTATGTGGTCAAGATATCTTCTTTGTATGGTTAGCAAACTAAAATCATAACACACTAAGGCTTCAGAGTTAACTTCTGTCTTGAGGTTTGTAAGGTCCCTAAAGTTTATTTTTATGTGCCAGAAGGGAATTGTTGTGTTTACTTGTTTATATTGGATTTGGATTTTTGTTCTCTTTTCCACCCCTTCTTCCCTAAACTCCAGTCAGTGTGCCTTCTAAGTTCAGGAATCAGAAACTATCCAGTTCACGTCTGCCTCTTTCTTTGAGATCTCCAAACTTGTCTGTATTCAGTGGCATCTTTACTACCTGTAAGGCTAGGATTCTGTGGGGAGTAAGGAGGCAACAGGCCATTTCACTGGGAGGGCCTGGTAAGAATAGTTTCCACGTGTGAGGCACAGTCCTTGTTCCTTCCTAGTAACCTTAGCTTCATCATTAAATGAGATTTTTGGCATGATCATAGCTATTATTTTACTGTATCTTACAGGAAGAAAGACAAGATTCTTACTGAATTTATACAAATAGCATGATTATAAAAAGTGAAGTAAATTAGTAGAGGCACTTTGTACAGTATTCAACCATTGTTTTTAGTACTTTGCAGATAAAGATAATAAGTCTTTATTTATAAGGTTATACAGATAATATTGTCTGTATAACCTTAGCTTATAATTTGTATCAATGATTTGTATTGTATTTCTGTTTTGGAATTCTAAGGGGTCAGCTGGAGCAAGATACTGTTGAATGATTGTTTCATTTACAAACACATTTTGTAAATTTTTGAACTATAAACTGTGAACTATAAAAGGGCTGAACAGAAGATTTCAAAGAGCAGCTCGAGCAGACAAACCCAATTACTATAATGAAATGTGCAAAGACCTGGAGTCTGAAAACCAAAAGGGAAGAACACGCTCGGCATTTCTCAAACTGAAAGAACTGAAGAAAAAATTGAAGCCTCGAGTTGCAATATTGAGAGATTCTATGGGCAAAATATTGAATGATGCAGGAAACATCAAGAGAAGATGGCAGGAATACACAGAGTCACTGTACCAAAAAGAACTGATCGATCTTCATCCATTTCAGAAAGTGGCATATGATCTAGAACCAATGGTAATGAAGGAAGAAGTCAAAGCTGCAAGGAAAGAACTGGCAAAGAACAAGGCTCCGGGAATTGATGGCATACCGATTGAGATATTTCAACAAACAGATGCCCCATTGGAGGCACTCACTCAGTTATGCCAAGAGATTTGGAAGACAACTACCTGGCCAACTGACTGGAAGAGATCCATATTTGTGCCCATTCCAAAGAAAGGTGATCCCACAGAATGTGGAAATTATAGAACAATATCATTAATATCGCACACAAGTAAGATCTTACTGAAGATAATTCAGAAACGTTTGCAGCAGTATATTGACAGAGAACTTCCAGAGGTTCAAGCCTGATTCAGAAGAGGACGTGGAACAAGGGATATCATAGCTGTTGTCAGATGGATCTTGGCTCAAGGCAAAGCATACCAGAAAGATGTTTACTTGTGTTTTATTGACTATGCAAAGGCATTTGATTGTGTGGATCATGACAAATTATGGATAACATTGAGAAGAATGGGAATTCCCGAGCACTTGATTGTACTCATGAGGAATCTGTACCTTGACCAGAGGAGGCTGTCGTTCGAACAGAACAAGGGGACACTACATGGTTTAAAATCAAGAAGGGAGTGCGTCAGGGTTGTATTCTTTCTCCACACTTATTCAATCTATATGCTGAGTAAATCATCCGAGAAGCTGGACTACATGAAGAAAAATCTGGTATCAGGATTGGAGGAAGAATCATTAACAACCTGAGATATGCAGACCATACAACTTTGCTTGCTGAAAGTGAGGATGACTTAAGGCACCTACTGATGAAGGTTGAAGAATACAGTCTGCAGTATGGATTACGTCTCAATAGAAAGAAAACAAAAATCCTCACAACTGGACCAATGAGCAGCATCACAATAAATGGAGAGAAGATTGAGGTTGTCAAAGAATTCACGTTGCTTGGTTCTACAATCGATACCAACGGAAGCAGCAGTCAGGACATTAGATGACGTGTAGCATTGGGAAAGTCAACTGCGAAGGAACTGTTTCAAGTGCTGAGGAGAAAGAATATCTCCTTGAGGACTAAGGTGCGCCTGACACAAGCCATGGTATTTCCAATTGCCTCGTATGCATGTGAGAGCTGGACAATGAATAAGGAAGACCGAAGAAGAGTTGATGCTTTTGAGTTGTGGTGCTGGCAGAGAATGCTGAAAGTACCATGGACTGCTCAAAGAACTAACAGATCTGTCCTGGAGGAAGTGCAGCCAGAATGCTCCTTGGAAGCAAGAATGGCCAGACTTCGTCTCACCTATTTTGGTCATGTTGTCAGAAGGAACCATTCCCTGGAGAAGGATGTCATGCTTGGTAGGGTGGAGGGTCGACGAAAGAGGGGGAGGCCTTCAACGAGATGGATTGACCCGGTGGCTGCGATGATGGGCTCAAGTATAGCAGGGATTGTGGGGCTGGCGCGGGATCGGGCAGTGTTTCGTTCTGCTGTGCATGGGGTCACTATGAGTCGGAAACGACTCGACGGCATTTAACAACAACAACAACAACAGACTGTGAACTGAAGCTTAGAGATGGATCAGGAAGGAGAAAAGCATTTTTCTTAAATGGTCTTTAAAAGTAGAACACTAACCACAGTTAAGTTAATTCATATCATTTTAGGTAATTAATTTATTCTTTTCCTGATCTTGATTTAAGCAGTCCATTGCACGAAATTGTCGTCTTCTAGACTAACTGAGTCCTAGAAATTTGGACAGAGTCGCTTGGTACATTCTGATAGTACCTATCTACAAATGAGACAAAGTCAGCCTTACTGAGGAGACTGTACACATGAGTCTATTCCCTGTGGTATCAGCAGCCCGTAGAATCTGGTTCTATCTTGACCGAGGTTCTTCTGATACTTCTTCAGAAGGTTTCTTTCTGACTTGTCACCTGTAGCAGGGGTCTTTTAGGTAGGGGTGTGTGGATGGGAAGATGAATGGCTCTGCCTAATTCATTATAATAGCCACCTACAGTAGAGTGGGGCACGATGAGTATAATAAATGTATTATATATGTGTGTGTGTGTGTGTGTGTGTGTGTGTGTGTGTGTGTGTATATATATATATATATATATATATATACACTCTGTGAGTATAATAAATGTATCATTCTTCCATAAGACTGCCCTCTGTGATTACCTTGAGAGTTATTGTTAGTTTCAGTCCAGTCACTTCTGATTCGTGATGACCCCATGTGTGCAGAGTAGATCTGCTTCACAGGATTTTCAAGGCTGTGTGTGACCTTTTACAAGGGCATCACCAGGCCTGTCTTCAGAGGTGTCTTTGGGTGGGTTTGAGCTGCCAACCTTTCAAGTCAGTAGTTGAGTACCTAACCATTTGTGCCACCCAGTGACTTCTACCTTGTAAGAGTAAGAACATATTATAAACAGCTAGGGCATTGTCAGATCCCAGGGCCCTTTAATTTGGCCTATCAGTTGGTGAGCATATGTAAATCTAGAAACAAAATATTTTTTCTTTTTAAAGCATTGGTTTGTAACAGTTTTTGTGCCCATCTTTGCCCATGAACATGAATATGCTGCTATCCAACCAGAAAAATAAATAGTTGCTGAAATGCATTCATAATAATGACATATCTGTGTAATTACCCTAAGAAGGTTGAACTTCTATTTGCCAGTGTTTCACATGTTGTGGGCTTGATAACGGAGCAGCATTCAGAGTGGTGAGCTAATTAAGAATCTGGAGAATCCCAAGCATATCTAATTATTTCTAGCACTCCTCCTTTGATAAGTTTTGGGAGCAAATATAGTTTACCCTCTGGTCATCTGGAAAACTCAAAAGTAGTTTAGGTCAAAAAAACGTTAAGACTTTTATATTTTCAGTATGGGACCTGAATTTATCCCCCTCCCCCCCCCGACCAAAAAAAAGGATTGTCAGAAGAAATAAAATATAAACATAAATCATTTAGGCCTAAAGATAAGAAAGAATTATTGTCTTGATACCACCCACTACCCACTGCCATCGAGTTGATTCTGACTCATAGCGATGACTGTTGGTTTTCCAGGGCTATAAATCTTTCTGGAAGTAGATTGCCTCATCTTCATCCCATGGAGCAGCTGGTGGATT